GACGCACAGAGAACAGGACGCACAGAGAACAGGACGCACAGAGAACAGGACGCACAGAGAACAGGACGCACAGAGAACAGGACGCACAGAGAACAGGACGCACTTCTCTCCCCTCGTGGTAAACTCAAATGTACACCTCGTTCACATCCTGTAGGTGATCCGCCCAGTTGCCTTCCCCAACCGATATGATATGCCGGTCGGGTCTTAAAATTACGAATGAATTATCCGACTTCAACGTGAGGGTATCAAAAAACAGGTCCCGTATTATTTCCGCCGTGAACACGTAGCTCACGTTGTATCCCTTCACCTCCATGTGTATATTCTGCACATTTCTGGCGTCTCCCACAAAATGAGGATCGCACTTTGGAAAAAGCGCATAGTCACTTAAAGGTACACTCATTTCAGTTGAGTGATCATTATCTACCATCGCAGCATCGTTCGGTTTTAAAATTCGAACGGATTGGTCCTCCGCATTTTTGCTTACCACAACGTTGCAGTCCCATAAGCAGAAGGAGAATTTATCCCTTGGCATATTATGTTCGTCCAAAAAGTGGGCCATGCCATTTAAGGTGGTATCATTAAATAGGATGATTAGAATGGATAAGGAGGGGTTGTTAAATATGGGTAGATCCACTGTCGATATTTTGTAAATAAATTTTGCGTCAAATGTATACAGATTAAAATGGGGGATTTTAGCCCCCACCACGTTGCTCATTTGGTGGTCGTATATATTTTTGCATATTTTCAACCTGGGTACCTTTTCATTCTTCTCTTCGAAAATATTGTACTTTGGGGGGGCGCCACACGAGCCACTGTTGTGCGGCTGATTGTGGTGCTGCCCATCGTCCGGTTGCGCACTCCCTTCACGTTGGCTACTCTCTTCACGTTTGCCAAGTTCGCCAAGTTCGCCGCGTTCTCTGGGATTGCCTGCGGCACCATGTGTGTCCCCCTCATTTTTGCCGTCCTTATCCAACTGGAGCCTCTTCCCCTGGGGGGCCAAATCGGAGAAGGGTTCTTTTTCCACCTCTCCAACATCACACATGGTATCTAAGTAAGAATAGCCGAAGTCCACACCAGGGTACAGCAAAGAGAGAATATTCTTCCGCTCATTTTGAACAAAATATTCTGCTCGTTCTCGATTGAATTCGAAAACGTAGGGAAGGTTGTTAATAAATGTTAAGAGTCCTTTAGCATTTCTAAGTACGTAATAAAACAAGAGCGACCTCTGAATGGAGCTAACCCGACAGGAGGTCACATAGCTTAGAAAAAAGTTGTGATTATATCCTAGCAAACCTGATACGTTATTTCCTTTTTTGTAATTTCTAACAGCGTGGTGTATGGTGAAATTGGCCACCAACTTCCTCTCAATATTATATGACTCGATGTAATTCTCTATTTGTTTTTTTTCCACTCTGTTCAACATGTTAAAAGGGAGAGTTAATTTGTTACCTCCGAGAAGTAGGGAAGACTCCGCATCCGATTCGGGGGGAGCGTCTCGGTGGGCACTATTGAACTCGGCCGCCTTCCTTATCCTGTCCATAATTTTTTTCTCTTTTAACTTATAAATTCGAATAGTTTTCCACACTATGTTTATCACATCGCCAATTCCTAAGTTTAAGCCAAATCCTCCTGAGGGAGGCAATTTGTGAGCCGCATCCCCCAACAAGATAATCCTCTTGGTCTTTTTGTCGATAAATGTGGAGGCAATCGAGCTATGCATGGTCCATTTATAGACATTATGAATACACATATCGGGCAGCTCGAAACCAGTCAGCTTGTTTATTATTTCTAGACACTTACTTCTTTGGCTATACATTTCTGCTTCCCTCTCGGTTATGTACGGAATGTGCAAAACGAAGTCTCCCTGTTCGTAATTGTGAGAAACTAACACCCCTATGTATTTGCTAAATAAGAAATACAGCATCGATGGGTTGCACTTTACTATATCGATGAGACGTGAAGATTGAAAATGGATGTTTATAAACTTCATGTAGTCCTTCCTATTTTCGTCATTTATCTTTAGGCTCTTCTTTATTCCGCTTTTTCCCCCCTCGCACACGAAAACGTAGTTACTTAGGATCACTTCTTCTTCATTGTTGTGCAGATTCCTAACCCGAGTCAGAACGCCCTGTGGGGAGACACCATCGGGGAGGGACCCATTTCGTGGAGTGCCCCAGTCGACTCCAGGGTAATTATTCCCCATATCGTTGTTCACCCCGAGATGGCAAGAATTCCCTCCCTCTGGGATGTTCCTGAAATTGACAAATTCGTATCCTATCAGGAATTCGGATGTATCGTAGGAGAGATAATTTTTCTCAATTGCTTCTTCCGTTGTGTCTTTATCCCTTCCTTCAGCTGCGGCTTTATCTGTCCCTTTATCCTTTGCCTTAGCTGCGGCTTTATCTGTCCCTCTATCCTTTGCTTTAGCTGTGGCTTCATCTGTCCCTTTATCCGTTCCCTCAGGTGCTCCCTTATTCGTCGCTTCATCCGCGCCTACCGCTTGGTGTGTCTCTTCTCCCAAGCGAGTGTTGCGACAAATGTACCTCAACATTCGGTGGGTGGACAACTTCAGCCTTATGTTTTTTAAAAATGCCCGCTTCTCCCGGGGGTCACATTTGATGAGGCTGAGATAGTAGCTGTAGAGGATGCCCAACAGTTTGTACTGAGACAAGTGGGTGACCTTGGAGGGGCTAATGTCCTCATAGTACGTATTCCTGTAGAGGTACTTATCCCTAAAGTTGTCATATTTGCACAACGTTTTGTCTTTCTTCAGACTTAATCCATATTGAAAGGTTTTCCACAAATTCACGTCTTCCGTTTCGTTTAGGAAACACTTATCTAGATGGAAGATGCCTCTCCATGCTTCCATCGTTTGGTTGTTGTAATAGTGCGCTTTGGGCACCTTCTCGATGTGTTTATCTCTCTCAATTAGTATGTGTGGTATTCTGTGCTTCTGCAGGTACATCCCCGTCGTGATCCCCGTGGGACCCCCCCCGATGACTAGCACGAAGGTTTTCTTGGTTTTCATGTTGGTGCTCATCTGGGCGGAAGATCACTCACCAAGTCACCAGGCAGTTCGATGGGCAGTTCGATGGCAACTATGTTGACCGCTTCGCATACCGCTTCCCTCACCGCTAGTTATTTTTATATCTTTTTTCCTCATCGCCTTTGGGGAGGCCGTACCCTGGGGTGGGGCAGGACCTACACGATCGAGCGGGCACGCGCAGTTTGCTTTCCCCTCTGCCCAGCGGATTCCCACGACTGATTTCCACTTGGTCTCCCCCCCCTCCCCGCACACCTGCGCCTCGAATTTGACGCCGCCTTTATTCTTTCTCTCTACAGATGCCGCCCAAGTTGTACCTACACAGACCATTTTTAAAAAAAATACGGCTGACTTCTCACAATGGCTATTTTAAGATGAAAGAGAAATCACCCACATCAGTCTCGTCACATCACTGCGTCATTACCATCGTTGCTCGTGGTATTAAAGATCCATAAAGCGATGCGCAAACGAAAAATCATTTTCCTAGCTGTAGTTGCGTCGGCCGCTACACGCGTAAGCGCACGTAGGAACGTGCATGCATTACAGGTGTACAAATAGCCCGTATGCACATGCACTGCGGGCATTTTTTTTTTCTTCTTCAACCTGGTTGTGGGGAACCCCTCAGGAATGATGAGTACAGAAAATAAAAATATAACTTCTCTACAAAAAGAATAAAATAAAATTCATTGCTTAATTTGAGAAAGTTCCAGTTGGATAACCACAAGCAATGAGCACAAAAGGCATGCCACTGGAGAGGAATAAATGGTCTACACCGATCGACATTAAAGGAAACCATCTATGGGGAGCGAATTTATTTGAATGGATTCGAAAGATCGATGGGGAAAACAAAAAGGAATATTGAGAAATCGTCCGAAATAGACAAACTGGTGGGGCAAAATTTATTTTACCTTCCTTATTTATAGGTCAATCATTTATGCTAATACACAGATGGTACTATTCTTTTTGCACAACGTGGCAAGTTGCAGAAGTGTTAATCTAATGGCAACCGATAGGAGGAATGGAAAAAAAATAAAAAGGGGGGGAGGGGGAGCCAACCGCACAGCATGACATGGATCTATCCGTTGTGATGACAAAGGGTCACTACTACCACGGTAAAACGAAGCCTTCCAAAAGGGAACTATATTTAAAACACTTCTTTACAATTGGGTGGGGTATGCTACCCATGCGAGTGGCACTTGAAAAAAAGAAAGAAGTGGAACACAAAAAGGCAACGTCTCAATGAGACGACAAAGAAAAAAAAAAAAAAACAATTACGATCGCAAAACAGGGAAAGTACAACTAGCTACATTCTTCTGAGCACCCTTGTGTGCGAAACAGCATAGCAAGAGACAAACATATATATACACTATAGACTCTTTAATTGGGAGAAAAAAGCGAAAGAAATAGTTTAATTAAGTTAAAATGAAGTAACATGTATGCACTGTGAGCGCAAACATGTGCTGGTGATGTTATGGGGTTGTTCTCTTTAAAGAGGTAAGAGGGAACAGGAAGGATACAATGAATTAGGAGCAGTCAATTAGGAGCAGCGACTTAGAAGCAGTGAATTAGAAGAATTGAATTAGAAGAAGTGAATTAGAAGAAATGAATTAGAAGCAGTGAATTAGAAGCATTGAATTAGAAGTATTGCATTAGGAGCAGTGAATTAGGAGAAATGAATTAGGAGCAGTGCAGAAGCTGACAGTTGGGCAAAATTTTGCGCGCAGGGCAAAAAATTGCAAGATATTAATTATATTGGTTGAAGCAAAATGAACACTGGTATTGCTTATTTGGTACGAAACAGAGCATGCGCGGATAGGAAGAATTAACAGGGTAGATAGCACACTGAATAAAGGAGAGCAATTCATTACGGAGGGGAAGAGCCAGCAACGCTGTAGTGGTAGAGGAGAGGGAAAAACAAGCTGTTCGGGATAATCCAGACAATCATAAAAAGGGGGTACGGACAAAGGAAGTAGGGACAAAGAAAGCGGAGACAAAGAAAGCGGAGACAAAGAAAGCGGAGACAAAGAAAGCGGAGACAAAGAAAGCGGAGACAAAGAAAGCGGAGACAAAGGAAGTAGGGACAAAGGAAGTAGGGACAAAGGAAGTAGGGACAAAGGAAGTAGGGACAAAGGAAGTAGGGACAAAGGAAGGGGGGACAAAGGAAGCGGAGGCAAAAGAAGCGGAGAGATGTCGTTTCGGGGTGCTGGAATAATGAATAGGTTAAAACATTGGTAAAGGCTCACATGCTCAAACGGCTGAGATGCGGCCAGCTGGCAAGACGAGACAGTTTAAATGCGACAAGGGTAGCATATGATGGTGAGAGAAATTGGGGAACAAGAAAATACAAAGTTAAGAGGTTAAGAAGTTTCTTAATTAACAAATAGAAAAATTGGGAAAATATATGATAGGAAGAGGATTATCAGACCGAAGGGAAGAAGCCCAGGGAGTGAAAGATGGTAGCGGGAAGGGGGTGGGAAAAAAAAACAACACACCAACACACAACGAGGTGTCATATCCTAAAGAGACAAGTTGTTAAACAGTTGTGCGGTTACGCGCTAGGGGGAGAGCAAATTAGGGGCGAGAGAGTGGCAGTAACAGAGAGGCAGCAATAGGGAGGCAGCAATAGAGAAGCAGTAATGCAGAGGTAGCAATGCATAGGCAGCACTGCAGAAGTGCGATGGAGAGGCCGCGAGGCAGCAGACCAAGGCAAAGAAGCAACGAGGCGAAGATAAAAAACAAATATAAAAAACATATAAAACTTGGAAAACATATTGGGGTTAAGGAGAAACTCCATGATATGACGGGACATGCCCACATATATATCTTGCCTTGGGGGATGACATAATAAATGGTAGAGGTGGCTGCGTTCTACCAGGGGCGATTAATTTTACTGAATTTTTTCTTCGACTGGTTTGTGGGCCTGGTGAACATTGCGCGTGCGAAGCTACAGTTGCGTCGGTGCGAGGCGCCCGGGCGTCGCACGTGAGGGATACCCCTTGCTGGGTGCACATTAAACGCCCCGACCGAGGAAGCCGTGAATGTACGCGCAGAGGAGGAAAGCTGATAAATCCCCACAAAAAACACACACATATTTGTGCACCCATTTTCTACACACGTGCAGGAGGAGGACGGGGTCATTTCTGCCCCAACCGCGCATTGCATATCCTCTTGAGCCACTTAATTTTGGAAACGCAGGATTCACATTTCTCATCGCCCTGACTTGACAGGATGTCAATTTTCCCATAAACTGATATGATCAAATCAGTGAGCTTGGAGTTTTCGATTAATTCATAGCCATACGCATGTACTAAATCTCCCAAAAGAGAAACAGCATTTTGAAAATTCTGAGCATTGAAGTGATTAATTTCTTTGATTAGTATTAATTCGATTAGGTCTAAAATGTTTGTGATGTAGACTTTTAGCTTGACAATCTCATTTCCATCAATTAGTGCATAGATGATATTACTGTATGTTAGGAGGATGGCATCTCTGAGCTCGAATACGTAATTAACCCAATCATCACTTTCGGGTGGCCCCGAGGTGATAGTTATTTTGGACGTTTCTGCTAGGATATTAGCGAAGAAATTTAAGTAGCGTGAAAAGCTTCTATTCAACGCGGTAGCAATATCACCTAACACAGTTAGGATGCTAATCTTTATCGAGTCATGCACACCAAAGGTTTTTAATGCGTCCCATAGGCACTCCAAAATTAACTCCATTTCTTTCTCAAATTCAAAGGTCCAGGGGATACAGATATCGGAAATCATTTCGATGCATATTCTGCACGTAGACGTTTCTGATACGTTCCTTAAACCTTTAAAAATGACATTAAGGAATGTTTTTAGGTGTTCCCTAAAGTCTTCTCCCATTACGTTTATTATTGCACTGCATGCAAGTAACGCATCTTCACAAATGTCGGTTCTAATTTCGAATAGCCTAAATATGCTCAAATAAATGGGCTTTAGAAAAGGCTTACACTGATTTGCTAACCTGTTAATGATAAACTGCATGGTGCCGCAATAGTAGCCCTGCAAAGATTTGACCTCCTCCGTTAGGGGGTTCAAATAAGTGTTCGTTAAGAGGTACATCATATGGGACAGCAACTCTATCATATATTTGAGGCAATTATCGGAAACGTTCTCTATGACGACATTAAGTGCATTGAAAGCAGCTTCTCTCAAGTTTCTCGTGTCTGCATCTTCCCTAGAGGTGACATCGATTAATTTTTTGCATAACACACAGAAGGAGTCGTCCAATTCAGTGGTGCAACTATTGGTCATCTTATTGTATGAGCTTCTCTTATTGGCAGCCAGCTGATTAAAAACCCAGCAGACGTTTGCCGCTACTCTTGGGTAGTCATTTAGCCTCTCCAACAATATTCCATACAGCGAATTGCTATCATTGTAATTACCTAATACGTTATAGATGATTTCTGAATGATACGTCGTTATCTTTCCTATGGTCCACGCTGCTGTATCTCTGACCGAAACGGATGGATCTCTCAAAACTTCGGAGAGTTGGCCAACCGATTCTTCGACTAGCGGTTTTAATTTCTCCGTCTCTGGACCTTCCATAATGGATCCATATGCCAGCACAGCAGCATCTCTCCTTCGCCAATCTTCATGTATAAAATTCTCTTCCACAAATGAAATAACAGGTTCTACAATATCATTTTTTAGTAACTGTGCACTGAGGGCTAGAAATGTTGCAGATGCCATGGATAATGTCCAGGCATCGATATCTATGTCTTCACTCTCTTGAGTTATCATAGCGTTAAAAATTTTCGGCAAAAGGAACACCATTGCCTGTTTTACTATATTATGGTTTTTTTTCCCCTCCTGTAATTCGTACTGATCTATAAAAGTTTCTTCTTCGCAAACTGTATTCCAGAATTCGATGGCACTTATGGCTATCCTTTCATTTTCCGACTCGATAGCTACCCATGTTAGGGGCCCTATAGCATACATATATGCATCTAAATAGGAGTAAAAATAACTGACAATGTTGATTAGGCATTCGTATGCTGCTATCTGTACGGTAGACCTCTCATTATCTTTACACCCATCTATAACCGTTTTCATTATTATGTCTCTTTCCACTTGGGTTTTAAAATTCTGGTCAATAAATGACATCAAATTGTATAGCACTTTCATACTAGCACAGTGTATGGATTCTTCCTCCCCAGGTTCACATAGCGAATTTATAATTGCTGTTAGGATTAAATCCAAGTCGGGCTGTGTAAAGACATACTTGGATTTACTCTCATTACAGATATCGGCAATATCTTCTGTTAAGTAGGCTAGGCATATCGTGGAAGACTTTTTCGTGTATGCATTTTTTTCTATAATGTTGTTCACTAGTTTGTGAAGCAATTCGGATGATTTATTGTGCGAGAGTTCAATTTTGGCTATAAGAGATATAATTTGACACGCTGTCCCGATGACTACCTTTTCCCCTTGCTGACTTAACAAATGTAACATGGAATTCTTTAACTCATTTTTTATGTCTTCTGGGAAGTTAATCCACGTCCTTGCCTTCTCTTCATTTTCATAGTTGTCCTTGGACGCAAAGGCATTTTTTATTAGTAGTCCCGCGATTTGCCTCAAGTAGGGGTCATTCTGCGTTTTGCAGAATTCGTTTGATAACTGATTTATGTACTGGACAAAATTTGTTTCCTTTGCGTGCTTTAACTTGGACTCTGCTTCTGAACGGATATTTATATTCGGATCTACTGTTGCATAGAGCACTTGCGCGATGTTACTTGCCTCCATCTTGGAACAGGATTTTTATCCAATTCTTGCGTGATGCAACTTAAGAGAGGAACAAGAAGCGCGGCCGGCGTGGCAAAAAAAAGGAAAACAAAAGGAAAAAAGCCCTCATGTATGAACATTCACACGGTGGTATTACAACTAATCGGTTGGCAAAAAATAAAATAAAATAGAACTCTCCTATTGTTGATAATGAGAAGGCGAAGGGAGCTGGACTAGCTTATCTGGGATAGCATGTGCAAGAAATGGGCCTAAAACACCGCAAGGAAATGCACGAATTCGGCAGTGCACCAATGCGGCGGTGAACCAATGCGGGAAGCAGGAATGCGTGAATGCTGTGTGGCGGCGGGATCCCTGCAAATGTGCACGTACAAGCTGCTTGCACGTGTGCAGGGGGTGTCCGTACGTACCAACGGCGCATTCGCTTGTGGTGTTATAGGCCCAAGTATACGCACACATAGGGACATGCACGTACGCGTGTGCCTACTGGTTCACTCTAATTGGGAATACGACGACGCGAAGGGCAACACAGTGAAGACCCCGGCGAAGGCGTTAACTCGGATATACATATAATTGTACGGCTTAGTACGTGTATACATATGTCGCGCTGGTGTCACTCCCCGGATTCATTGTCGATTTTGAGTTATCTCCTTTGTTTTGTTGTGTTTTCTTTTCCCACTAGCGTTGATCAATCGCGTTTTCATTCACATCCTTGCTGTTCATACTCGCACTGCACTGGTGGTTTTCCTTCTCCCCTTCTCTATAAGTTCTTTTTTCTCTCGTAATTTTCCTCCTTCTGTTTCCCTTCTATCACGCTATTTCTTCTAATTTTTTTTTTTTTCTCGCTGTTTCGTGCTTCATTTACTGTTAGCGCAACCCATGTTTAACTTAAGGGGAAGGAGGTTCACATATGAGGGGCACAAACGAATAGGCATCCACAGGGCCTGGAAGCGCACAGGTAATTCACTCCAGGGGGGGGTACTCACGCAAGGGAGTACTCACATCCGCGCGAACATCCATACATGCGTAGCACAGCCGCAGTCGACATGTACAAATGAGAAGCAGTATATATACGTAGTACAATCTGGCGATATACAAATGGATCACAAAAAATACCTACGTTGGCGATGGCACTTGAACTTTTTATTTTTCTTTTTCGCTTGCTGCGAAATTTTAAAGCTACATATGGATGTGAGAAAAAAAAAAGGATGTGCTTGTACATATGTATATAAATATGCATATGGGCATGGAAGATTAAACATGTATAACGTATGAAGTTATACGCATATATATGCATATGTATGTACATATATATATATATATATGTATACATGTGCCAGTTTGCGAATTATATATGTATGAATTTTCGCACAGCTAAATTTTGCAAAAATTGTGCTTCCCCACTTTTCTATGTGCGATGCGAGGTGTATGAGCCCCATGTCGGCGGCAACGAAAAGGTACGTACTCCCAAGTGCTTCTGCGCGCTCGGTCCCAGGGGGGTAAGCGCCGCGTATGCTTTTCCAAAGGTAGTATATGTTTGCCGACAGCAGTGCGCTCATGTACGCGGTAATGCCGCACGATGGGCGATGATAACCGCAGCATAATATATTCTCGTGCGTATTGCGCATATATGCATATTTTAGTGTATACCCATTTTTATTCCTTAACGTTAAGCACTAGGTATTTCCTTTTTTTTTTGTATTTTCCCGAATCGTTTTTTTCTTCCTGTGCTGCGCCCTTCTTTTCGTGCATATATCTCCCCCCCCCCCTTTAAATACTATATTTTCTTATTTGAAATGATTTGGATGAACCAACACATCGTGCGTATCCACGCAACTATGATTATATTATATGTACATATGTACGCGGGCATGTAACTTAAAAATACATACGCCCCTTTTATGAATTTATCTTAGTAAATATCATGAGAAGAGCCCAGGCAAAAAGAGATAAAAAAAAAAATTACCAATACATGGTGTATACTGCTACTACTGCTGCAATGTGATGTATTAAGTACGTCTGCTGCAGAAGTTGCAATAAATAGGCATCATAGGAGTGAAAAAAAAAAAAGAAATGAAACAATAAACGATCAAAAAGGGAACGTTATGAGTATCTCCGTACAACTCGACAAACTTCTTTCAAAAAGTGTGTGTGATGCAAGGCATACAGCAGATGTTCATAGCATGTTACATCCGTGGTGCCTACTCGTGCGTTTTTTTATCTGTATATTTCTGATCCCCCTTTTGGCATACTTTTGCTCCTTCCAAGATGTTTTCACATAAGGAAAAAAAAAAAAAAAACGAACAACCGCAAAGGAGTTTCTGCCCTTCATCGATCGAGAGGGGTACTTTCCCCCAATGTGCAGCATACATGTGTGTTCGAAATTGTGTAATCCCGTTTGGAGTTAATTTTTTTTTAAATTCTCTTCCACGCAATTAAGCCCTTTCCAGGGGATACACATTTCTATGCCAGAACCTCGAATGCGTATAATGGTAAGCGCTCCTGTATATTTATAACACGGATGGACGTGCACAATTTTTTTGCCACCCATCCCGACCTTCGTAGAATGAAACGCAAAAATGCAACACGTCTACCATCGGAGTGATTCTGGTAAAGATTAGCACACGAATTATTTCCATGCGTTATACGCGCTTATAATGTCTACGTAGCCCCTTTTTCTCTATTTGGATACGCAAGCGCAAATCATGACAACAGCATTGCCCACGCGCGTGTTTATTTGCCTACGGACATATGTGCAGAGAGAGAAAAGCCATGCGTACAACATGGCTACCCGCATCTAAGATAATAAACCAAAATGAATAAATCATTTTAAATAAAGAAGTAACCCGCATCGTAGTGTAGAAAGGGTAAGCAGAATATGCCCCTCTTTGCTTATAATAACCCCCGTTCTGATATGTTTCATTTTTTTTTTTGTCTCCTCCCCCCCCTGTTTGTCTACCTAAGCGACGATGCGACACAATGTATTGCTTAAACAATTTGGAAACAAAACTTTTTAAAACATAAAAAGGTAAAAATAACGCATAGCAGATTGAGGAGTATGTCAGCACATTTCATAAATTAAATTTACATATTTAATATGTCCTTAAAAATTGGACACATTTTTACGGAAAAAAAAAAAAAAAAAAAGGAGAAACTGACAGCGCTACAGAAGGATGATCGGATAAGATAGGCGGGATGCCTTCTTAAAACGTTCATATGTGTAGTCGAATTTGTCATGAGTTGGATATCTCTACACGAATTAATAGCAAGAATGGAAAACTACGTCTGTCTTGAATTCGATCTCAAAATGTGAGTAATGAAGGAACGTATGGTAGAGGATTCCACGTCAACGAGTTAGTGATACGCTTTTCTTTTTTCTTTCTTTTCTTTTTTTTTTCTCCATTCTCATTTATTCAAATCAAAATTCCCTCATCGTTACGGATATGCCACAAAGTGATGTTCTCATATGTTAAGACATCTCTATTGTGCGTGCGCGTATGAATACGCTGGAACGAATATAGGGGCCCAAAAAAATTACCACTCAGCGTAATTTATTACGGAATGATGGGAGACGCGCCCAAGCGAGTACTTCCACTTCTAACTCCACGTAGATATGCAGTGGGACACATGCAAAGGTGCATTGGGTAATATTGATAAAACAGTTGGAGCTCCTACCCTCACAATTTCTCAGCCTCCAAGAATTTCTTTATCTCCTCTATTTCGATGTGGTCCCTGTCCGTGTCTTCTTCATTCCCAGCATCGACGCTGATTCCCTTTTTTATGAAATCGATAACTTCGTCATCCTCATCGGAAGTGTAACTTTGTTGATTTGGCTCGTTCGCGCAAATTTCGCTCTGCTGTTTGGAATCATCACTTGGGCCATCGCATGGTGCCCACTTTTCCCACTCCTTTACGTTTTCGCCTTCGCTTTGGCAGCTCCCTCTGTGTTCTGCACCCCTCGATGATGAGGAAATATGCCCCGACGTATGTGTGTCTGACTCAGCCCCGTCCAACCGTACCCTGTCGAGCTGATCCTCGCCCAACTTCTCCCCCTCCGCCGCTTCCTTTTTCGCGCTCACGAACAAGTAGTTTGCCGCACCTCTCCCGAAGGCGTAGAGAAAGCGAATCTTTTCCTCGTAGTCGTTCAGCTTATTCCATTCGTGGTAGCTCAGGGGGATGACTTTATATTTTTTTTTCTCAAGAATGGATCTTTTCAAATCGGAAGTAGACGTCGTTACCAAAGAATTTACGTAATAGCTATATGGTCCTAAGCACATAATGACAACTTGAGAGTCTGGTAGCATTATATCTGCACATATATGATTGATGTATATGTTTTTTAAATGACTTACATTTATTCTTGCTAGAATTTTAGACAATTCATTAATCCACCTTGCTCCATACTTCACTTTTTTCTTTTTCTTTCCAATTTCATAAGTATCAATGTAGTAATAAAACGTTTTTATTTCTTCGGGGAATTTTGCAAATGTCTCTGGGTAGGTATACTGTATATACTCACTAACATATTTCAGCTTTTCCACCTTGTGACTGCCCAAGTATTCCTTTAGAGGTAGGATCAGATAGGTCAGTTTCAAGATCATGTTTTCCGTGCAGGTGATTAGGCACGTGCACGAGAAGAGTAAAAGTACGAGGGACTGCAGGTCGAAGTGGGCCTTCTGCTCGTTCCCCCTCACCGGGGTGTCGCGCCAACTGTCGCCTCCTCCGCTGCTATCACTGCTACCCCTGTGGTAAGCGTATTCTTCATGCCCCCCTCCTGGGGGAACAGAACAAAGGGGCACTTCCTCTCTGTCCTGCGAATTCCAACTAGTACCCACAGCGTCACAGTTTGGTGTAGCCTCCACATGCGGGTACTCTCCAACAGGGGACTCATCAAAATGGGTTGTTTCCTCTAGGTGTGAATTTACAGTTGCAATATTTTGCTCAATCTGTGAGATGGTCCCCCTTTCTTCCGTTTCACTGCGTTCGTTGTCCTCCATTTGGGACCCCTCTTTTAATTGGCCAATTCTGTGAGATCCACGCATGAAAAGCTGCCTATCTAAATATGTATGAACAAACTGATACAAGTAATTATAAAATTTGGGATGACAGAACTTCAACTTAGCGAAGGAATGAATAACAAGAGCTAGATTATTTGGGCTGAATTGTTTTGCATATTTCTTTGCCCCTTTACTTAGGGAACATAAAACGTTACCCTCTCGGATGTCCAGCCTGGCCAATGCTGATATGATAAGGCATAAATGTAAGGGGTGAGAAAAGTAATACCCATTTTGAAGTTTCAAAATGCATTTTTTCCAAAAGACTTTATGATATATGTAAAAAAAAGCCAAAGAGTTAGCAACCAGGGCCATGTCTTGGGAGGTCCACCTCTGGATATGCAGACAAAACTGATTGGTTAATAATTCCATAGTGTCATATTTCTTCATTTCTAATTTTTTAAAACTGTTTAGTAATAACGCTAAAGCACAGGATGTCAGGTCGTTTATCTTCTTCAGTAGTATAGAGCATAGCAAATTCATTAGCCTATTATCTCTGTAGCCGATTTTTCCAAAGCACCAAAATAGGATTACTATGTCGCTTGCGTCCAGGTACCCCGATATGATAAATACGTTTTGGACATATTTCTTCCACAGGTTTTCATCCCGCACGTGGTTTATGGACGCCTTATAGATCTTTCTCATAATTTTTTTCTTATTCTGTTGGCTCTGACTAGGTATCTGTAAAGCATCAGTGTCGGTAATTCCCTCTGCTTGGCCCCCTGCCATCGCGTGGGAAAACCCACCGGAGGTTGCCACGTCTGGCGCGTCTCTGTTCCCGCTGCTTATTTCCAGCTCATCAAAAAGCACAATCGATTTCAGTTCTGATATGCTAAATCCATTTTCAGACGGGTCGTTTTTCACTTGTATGTGATACTTCTTACTTACGTAACTGTTTGTGACGGAAAAATTGATCAGGTGGATTTTTTTCTTGAGCGTTGTTTTTTTCTCCACAAGAATGTTGCTAATGCTGTCGTGCAGTTGTGCATGCGTTAGACTACCACTACGTTGGTTATCTTCACAATCGGTTTTACTTCCATTCGTGAGAAGAACTCTCTTTCTTTCCTGAGAGGAGTCCTGCCTTTGGGCTTCCATCATCTTGCCTTCTTTGCCCATAGCTTGTCTAAGGAGTGCCTTTTTTCTAATCCTGTTTGTAAAACTATCACGGTAGTATGTGCCCGATTGTGTGTCATTTTTTTTTTCGCATTGCCTCCATTCTCCGTACCACCCGGAATCGAGTCCCCCACTTGTACTTCCATATGTGCTTTCACTTGTGCCTCCATTTGGGAGGAGGCCTTTCACGCCCCCCTTCCCAGTTACGTAATCCCCATTTTGTACTTTTTTTTTCGTCGACTTCTTCGGTTCCGGCGTCTTTACATTATCGAAATGTAGAAGCTCTAAAAACTTTATTTGGCTCCCCCTGATGCTGTCCACTTCCTTTTTCCGTTCCTCCTTTTTTTCACTTACCACTTGTTTGTAAGTTATGGGATCTTTAAATTTCCCCGTCCTTATGTATCTAGCCCCGCTTGCAATTAATCCACCTTTCCGAAGTAGGCTCATGTTGGCAGCATGGTGCAGTCGTTAAACACTGGGTGGGGGGAAGTACATGCCTGAGATCACACAGAAGAGGTAGTTCCTCCCCTTTAATGGTAACTTCTGCACTCTTAGGAATTCCTAGCCAAATGGTCTTCTCCCATCTGTTTGCGCTTGCAAAAGGGGAAGGTGAACGCAGGGGCCAGACACAAAACTCACATGGGCACAGATACACCTCTCTACTTCCTCTTAAGTCTTCACAGAAAAGAGAAAAAAAAAGAAGAAAAAAATGGCAGCTTCGGAGGCTGCAATGACTACACGAATGGCATCCGATTGAGGTGTAAAATGACAGCATCCCTTCAGATGAGGTACACGTGATGAAGTTCCTCCACCTCTTTTTTTGCAACTTCCGCATGGTGTTCTGCGGATATATTTTTTTGGAGCCACTTTTGCGGGGAATTGCCAAGAAGAGAATGCGTCCCGTTTGGGAAGATGAACTGAGGTAGCGAAGAAGCTCATGGGGGGAAGTGCCAAAATGAATTCTAACATAAACGGCTACATGCATCTGTACATCCCTACTTGTCGTGCACAGCAATTCCATATTCGAGCATAGAGCGTGCTTTCAAAAAAAAGGGAGACGCAGCACAAGCCGGCGTCCCGGATAATGCACCTCGTTTATGTGGGGTACCTCCGCGGAGTGGCCGTTCGCCCGAATGTGGGCATTCAAAACAGCAGGCGAAGTGGCTAAATTTCATAAACGACGGGAGGAACGCAGCAACACAGCAGTACAGCAATATGGCAACACAACAACACAGCAACATAGCACGCGGGTTCACCCGGGTCCGCGCCGTTAAAAAAAAAAAAGCAAGCAAAAAAGAGAACCAAAATAAATAGCGCTGTGGGGATATGCCCACATAGCATCATCCATGTGAAGGCCTCCAAAAGTGGAGAGAAATAGAAAAAATAGCATCCTCGAAGAGGCAACAAAAAATTAAAGGTACCCAATCTTTTACTTCCTACCATTCGTCCTTTCACACAAGTTTGTATCATCCTAACGACACACTCACTTTTGATCATTTTAAAAGTTACATAAATATTACGTTCGGACGGACTGCGCCAGGGGAGAAAGAGAAAAGAAAAACGTGTTGCACGGAAAAAATAGACCCCTAACTACGTTTGACTTAACAGAAAGCATATATCCACCATCTGCCTGTTTGAAAAAGTATACCCACGTGGGAACTGCAAAAATGGTTTTGAATAAGGTGTATCTGCTCGCCATCCTGGTGCTGTTTTATGTTGCCACCCTATGTGTGGAAGCGGGATGATCCAAGAAGTTGCATATAAAACTACCAAATGAGGATGACGATTACTTGGGGAAATTAATCAACATTTCGAAGAAGATAACACAATACGCACGAAAAAATAAGGTGAAAATTGCCAAAGTTTTAGCTACATCGGCCCTTTCAGCCTACTCACTTAGTTGGGTATACCAGTCCGGTGTTACATTGCAGAGTGAACCACACTACTCCCTGTTCCTGCCCTCCACCAGCTACATAAATAGTGCCATTAGAAGGATTAAGAAGAATAATGAAGTTAAAAAGTACACATTTAAAGAGAACAAAATTTTCGAAAGGAATTTCCACCACGATTATGCCAACTCAGAAATGGGACGAATATATGTTGTGAACAATTTGGTCAATTTTTTGAATTTCTTACCCTACAAGTGGAGAAACACACATACATACAGCTTTTGTAAATATAAGGAATTTCAAAATGTCGAAAAGGTGAAAAATGTCCAAAATGTCGAACATGGCCAAAATGTTTTCGACATTTTTGACTACATGAAGATAGGGAAGCATGAGGGACCCATTTTACTGTTCCAGGGGAAATTAAAAAAACAGTACTGGATACATTTGCCACTAAAGTATGAAATTGTGAAATCGGGGGAAGGTTCTCTCTGCACACTGACATTTACTCCGTTACACAAATATTATTCTGATTATACTATCGAGATAAAACTGGTGAAGAAGAACGAAACTAATAACGTAACTTTTATCACCTCTGTTAAGTACGCCAACGGGAATGATGAGAAGGGAAAATCCTTCTACATAAGTGTGGTTAAAAATATTGCCATGTTTTTAACATATGACATTTTTGAAGGAATAAATAACAATATCCATGTGGTGTACAGAAGGAATGCAAACTGTGGAAAAATCATGTCTACCAGATCGAATGTAACTTTAAGAAGGAAAAAAAAAACAAATCTTCAGTTCGTCCTCTCGCCGGTCATCACCCCCTGGAGTCTTAAAATGCGGCGGAGTTAATTATCCCCTACGGTGGAAAGTTACTCCTGTGCGATGCGCACACGTGACGAAAGCATGAGAAGAGTAGCAGGAAAGAAGTGTGCATCATGAAGCGGAGCCTTTTTTTTTTTTGTGACATTATCGAGGTACACAAGCCATCGTTACACAATTGCTCAGTAGACATTCTTTGCCTTCACCCAGTGGCACTGTTTTTAAAGAAAAAGGAAAAATTACATGTCGCTACAAAATGGGGGGGAGTCTTTTTTTTTTTTTGCCCCCTTCCCCGTGGTACCTAACACGTGCGTCAAATTGTAAACGCAGAAAAACGCCCAAGTTATGTCGTCACCTTCATCCCTGTTTTGAGTACAGTGAACGAATGAAGAATTATTCCAAAATCCTGAGCAGAGGAAGGAATAGTTCTGACATGTTCACAGGTACAAAAATGGATTAACACTTAACATTTTGTCTTTCTTCATTTCATGTGCATGTTATTTGCGCCATTTTGTGCTGCTTCCCTTTTTTCTGCCTCCCCCTCCGGAGGACACACTGTTAATAACCCTTTCAAACGCTTCCAGATTTGTTACAAAATTGTTCTTTGGGTATTAACACACGTTTCACTACATATTACAAGCGAAAAAAAAAGGAAAAATGTAAAAATGTAAAACCGGTGGATGAAAAAAGAAGAAGAAAAAAAAAACATTCTTGACCACACGGGGAAAACATTTTCCAACAGGAAAAGAAAAAAAAAAAAAAAAAAAACGAAGGAAAAGAAGGGGGCCAAAAACAGTATACACAAATGTGTCGCCATGCACAGCAGTCCACACACACAGAGAAGCACACCCACGAATGTACAAACATTAGGTGGTCTCACGCCATTCATGTCTTTTCTGCTTGGCTGGAAAAATCACTTCTGTAATGCCTTCTTCAAATTTTCGTTGGCAAAATTCCAATTAACCAAATTCCACCAGGCCTTCACGTACGACGCTCGATCATTTCGATAATCAATATAGTAGGCATGTTCCCATATGTCGCACGTTAGGATAGGAATGCCTGTGTTATCCTTTATAGGGTTTCCAGCATCGTGTGTCTGCAAAATGACTAACTTGTTGTTATTATTCAAAGCTAGCCAACCCCATCCTGATCCAAAGTGGCCACATAATACATTCGAAAATTCATTTTTGAAATCGTTAAAGGATCCAAAATCTTCCTTAATTTTTTCCTTAATTTCTCCATGGGGTTCCCCTCCACAATTGGGTCCCATAGAGTCCCAGTAAAAACTGTGGTTCCATATCTGCGCGGCGTTGTTAAAAATTGCTCCCGTAGATTCCTTCAGAATTTCCAGCAACGATTTCGTGGCAAACGGCGTATCCTTAATTAGCCCATTCAACTTGTTTACGTATCCAGCATGGTGCTTATTGTAATGGAAGTTCAGCGTCTCTTCACTTATATGAGGTGACAGGGCGTTTAAAGCGTACTTCAATTTGGGTAGAACAATTGCCATTTTTCTTCGGATGTCTTCGTCCTCTTTACTGGCGGCAATTCCTTGTCCGGCTGCGAGGGGGGGGG